GAGGTTCGGTCAAAACTTTAGAGCTGCTAATCTCCCTCGTCCAACATCGATAATGGATACTATCATGATAGTTGAGTTCGTAACAACCTCCTCTACAATGTAGGCGGTTCACGCATCGAATGGACCATCATGTGGTGATCGGACGATCAACGGTAGTTGTTCATCTTCCAAAGGGCAATTTCATAATTTTGATATGATGGGCCATTTAGGTCATTTCTAGTAGCATTCTAAGGGGCATTTTGGCAACTATCTAGTGACCATTTGATTTGGTTTTTAATATTTTTTTAAATTATTTTATGATATTATGCAATAATGTTAATTTTATTTGTGTTAGAAAATCTATAAATATTTAAGTTGTGAGATTTATTTTAATGTATAGAGTTGATTCGATTATGATATCGGGCTAATAAGTCTCCTATTTATTAGGAAAAAATGATGGTTTTGATATATTTTATCCAAAAATTAAAAATGCAAAAATAATAATAGTAAGTAATCAATTTAGGGTCGATTTTATTTAACATTTTGTGTAAACATTTGAATTAATCGAGTTGTTCCTCGACATGCCAATCATGTCCGGATTTTAATTCGGATACGATGCTAAATTGACGAGACTACTAAATTTTAAGGTTCAACATTAATTTAATACGATGCTGCAAAAAAAAAAAAAACAAAAAAATAATTTTATAATTTTTTCCTCACGTAGTTCAAAATAAAACATGAAAAAAAAAGAGTTTTAAGCAAATTTAACAAGTCTTCTAACTTCTAGGGACATATGTTGTTAATTAATTCAAATCAATCACTTTAGTAAATACTTCATTCTTCATTATACTAGTTATGTTGAGATTTAAACTCGGATTCGATGTTACATTGACGAAAAGCCCGATGGATGGATCCAATAATTGATTCAATATGATACCACAAATAAAAATAAAAAAAATTAATTTGGCTTAGGAAATTAAACTTGGAATTTTGTCTTAGGATTAATTTTGGAAAAAGTAGAAATTTTTAATAGATAAATTTTTAGGATTAAATTAGACACGGTATATTTTTTTCGAAAAAGGTGTCTCGTGGATCATTGATATCTTCCTAAAGGCTTAACCAACTTCTTACTAAAAAATCTCCGAACTAGTGCTCATTTTAGGTTCTTAGTTCCTTTAATACTAGGTTGTAATTTCAAAATTAATAAATAACTTACATCCCCAAATAAACATGATTTTTAACAAATAAAGCATAAATATTATTTTTTGACGAGTCTCACGAATGTCGATAGTGAAACCGTGTTACAAAATATAAACAAACATAGCCCATAATTACGAAAAAATTAAGAAAATTAAAAAATAATAACTTATGTAGCTAAATAAATAAATACTAAAATAAGAAAAGCAAATAACTAAATTCTTAAAATCTCAAAACATTTATGGATCTTAGCAATATTTTGGATTGAATCACAAAAGAGCCTACAAACATCATTTATAAATGAACTAGTCAACAAAAAAAAAGTCTATTTATGGATGGATGGATTGTCCAAACCTCAACTTTTAATTAATTAATATTAGCAGCAAGGAAAGCTATTATTAATTAGCACAAGTTAATTAATCGAGGTAATTAAGACTCGTGTGTTTTAGAGGGCACTAGTTTGGCTTCTATTTTATATATATATATTGACATAGTTATTTAATATTATATCTTTTACAATTATGCGGGAGATCGTCAAAAAAATAATTGATGAGGAGGTTGTTAGTCGACGGACGAGTGTACTTCATCGATCGACATCGACATTAATGAGATTTCTAAGAAGGTTATTGGAGGAGGAAATAGTAAGAGGAAGAGGATGTACGGACTCGGGTCACATGCCTCTCACTATTACTCTAACATAAGTACAACCTCTAGTTCGATCACTTTGCGATTCCATGTTGATGATGAGGCATAATGAAAGAAATTCGAGAATCGAATTGCTATACATACGGAACAAATCCAAGATCTTTATGGTACTATGACAACGCCGTTGGTTACAACAAATGAGTTGAAGGAGTACACTCTAGAGCAACATGCGATGATGAGACAAATGTAGCGAGATGTTGCTACAAATGTAGCAAGGTAGTTCATCCGTCGAGCCTCACACCGACGATTCCACCTAACCTTCGAGTGACGACCCCGCCGATCTCTCCTAGCTTTCATATTTTGTAATAATAAGAAACTTTCTATTTTTTTTTTAGAATTTAATAATTAAATATGTATTACATTTTAATAAATTTTATAATAAATATTATGAAACTTTAAAATATTATGTTTTTGTTTTTTTTAGATTTTTAAATAGCAATTGGTTAATTTAAAAGATTTAAAATGCGGATAAAATTAAAAAATAAATTGAAAAAAAATTCTTAGAACCATCACTAAATTTAGAAATAGCATCGATGGTCCGAACAAATCAATTGCTAAAACTATTACTAATTTGTGACGGTTTTAGCGATGGTTTTCAAATGACTATTGCTACTTTGCTTGCTATTTCCTCTTTTTTTGCGACGGGTTTTTTACGGTTTGCGACGGTTTTATCTATCATTAAATTTAGCGATGCACCAAAAAATCATAAAAAAAATTGGTGATGGTTTTCCAAAAATTAGCGACGGTCTAATTCCTTTAATTCTTGTAGTGACTTCATTCTTATGAAGGACAACATGAAAATTACTTATTGAAGTTGTTTATGCTTTCCGCCTGTATAAGAAAGTTAATGGTTGAATTGTTTGATCCTATGATAGCAAAGATATATACTAAGATAATTTGTGTTGCTCCTTACTTAACAATCACCTATCAGCTGGTATATTCATAATTCGATCATATTTGTGATTAAATCTAAACCCTCTAAAAGTTAAAACCCTTACTTAGCTTACTAGAGAGACTAAATACTAGAGCTCACTTGCTACTAAAAGTATAATAGAAAAGGAAGCCAATAATTTTTTTTCTATGTCTCTAGTTAGGAAAGGAAACAACTCAACATCTGTTTCTTCATTGCGACATGACTTGGGCTTTATGGTGTCGACTCATGTCCAGGTGGGGGTAATGTTTGGGTTATGCCACCTTCAGTTGACAATTTGTTTAAAGGGTAGGAATATTTTTGTAATAGATGGATGCAAAAAAAGATTTAATTCTTAATTAGTTCTCAATACAATCCTTTAGCCTGTTTGGTTGGCAAGGGTCTTTAATGATATTTGACCTTGATTGGGATCATATTCTCTCTCCAATCTTCCATGTGGTTGCTTACTGGGTAAAATTTGTGGATGAACAATTTTTCCATACATACAATAATATGGAGTGATGTTCAGATTGTATGAAGATATGGACTAACTATTCAAAATATCGGCCAAGTATCTTTTGGTCTAAGCCTTATCTAGACTCTCTAAAATGAAATGTTAATGGTTCATCCTTGGGCAAGCCTATGATTTCTAATATTTAAGGAGTTTTAAGGAATCATGAAAAAAAAAAAATGTGCTTTCTCTATCCCAATAGGGATCAATGAATCCAATGAGGTCAAGGTTATAACAATCATGAGAGTTTTGGAGATTAGTGTCTTTTCTGTCTATAATCATCAACTGAATTGAATAATCGAGTCGTATTCGACTAATGCTATTGATTGGATGAGTAAGAAATTCCCTACTTGGTCTTGGCGTTTGTAGAATATCTTTAACTCAATTGATTATTTAATCAATTTTTTGAATTTTATTTCATTCAGCCAAATTCTTCGTGAAGAGAATGCAATGACATTTATCAAGGTGTGAACCACATGTAATTTGGAACATCAGGTGATGGAGCTATGCGTTTTCTATGTAGAAAACCATCTTTTCATTCATACTCTTCAAAGTCCTATAACTTTTGGAATGAAGAAATGATTCCACTTCAAATGGTAGTAAAAAACTATCCTACTTGGAAGCATCCAATATTCTGTTGTCATTTTTAGGTTAGGTTTAGTTTGATTAGATCAAAGAAACAACAAATTAAGACACAAGCCAGGCGCCCCCACCCACAAAAGTCTAATAAGATTTACTAGGAAAGGAGTTATTGTTTGATTCTCTATGATTTGCAAATTAAATTAATCATGATGGGATGACTTAACATTGTGCTATCTCATATGCGAAGCCGCTTTCATTGTCCCATTAATCATGAAGAATATAACAGATGTAGACAATCATGGTGGGATAATTGCCTGGGTATACCTGAATGTTTATATGTTCATTAACTATTAATTAAAAGGAGATGCAATGAGTGGCAGCTATGTTTAATTGATAACGTTCCTCCTTTTCTTATTGGTACAGTTATTTTACTGTAGCAATCCTATAGTTAATTAACTGAAAACATAATCTACGTAATTTGTTATGGAATCACTTGAAATTGTAAAACAAACAACGAAGAACTGACTAACTTGAAGACTAATCACGGTTGAATATATATGAATGTAACAGGGGCTGCGCGTGGGGCAAGCCTAGACTCATGAAATTAATTTCTCTTCAAATTCATGTTTTGCCATCAATTTTTAGTCTAGGAAACCATAAACGTTTCACCAAACTGAAACTGATCATATTGATATGAACTGCGATGTGCGAAAAGGTGAATATCCCACGTTACCTGCTCAAGGAGTTGGGTGCATCATGCATGCACCGTTCTTGAACCCATGCATGAATATATAATTAGTTATCTAGTTTTTAAATGTTAAATAACCACTCAATCTAAAAAATTTAAGCTGCTAGGTGATTTTGCGTACTCTTGAGAAGAAGAAAATCCTTATATATATTGAAATAGGAGCAATTTCCGTTTAGTTTATGAAGTCAAAAACTTAACCAAAAGTATTACAGGAGGATAAAACTGGATGATAATGTACATTGTAATTTTACATAATCTCCCTAGGAATTCTACGAGAAGCTAAAAACTTATCAAACAACAATGAATACAAAATAAAACAAGAACAAAGCCACCTGATATAACATGATTCATTTTGAGTTTTCCATCCATCATAACTCTTGAATTTTGAAGATGATACGCGTATCGACGGATTCAAGAAGGCCAATGTCATCAATTGATTGATCTTCCATGTTATCATCGTCAATGGAAATATTCAAATCCAGGGATATGCAAGGGGTTGTGTCTTCCAATAATGCAGCGCCAGCACTGTTATCTTCTTCAGGAGACCCATTTGTTCTCTGCTTGATTGGAGGAGAGCAGGCTCTGGATCTTGAGCTAAAGCTTTCACAGCTCAAAATGATGATAGCGTCACTAAGGCTAACTTCTTGACCATTGGAATTTGTTATTCTTCCTCTTTCAATAGCCCTTTTGAAACCAATTTGAGAGCAATAATCTGCTTGCTCAACATCTTCCACTAAGAAAACTCTATGTGGATTGCTTGATACTGCCTCAGAAAATCTCTCGATGTAGCTGCAATTTTGTTCATCCCTTGATCTTTTGTTTCTACAATCTTCGGTCGAGTCTGCTCTTGTGGAGGAAAAACTGCTTAAAGCAATTGAAATGAAGCTGTCATGGTAGCCAAAAACTAGCCTAGCCAATTCTTTAGCTATCTTCTCTTTAGCTTCCATATCAACTCCTTGAAAGAACAACCAAGTTTCTTCTTTGGCCTCACCGTTTTTCACCTTCCCCTTTCTTCTTATTATTCCGGACCGGCATTGCAAGATGGTGCTTGCTATTTCAGGGATTACATCTTTCTGCCATGGCACTTTTTTCTCCAATGCATTGCATAGGGTTTTCAAGTTCTCAGCATTTAGCTCCTTGAACTTGTGGAGATACTCCATTTCCATGACGTCACTTGAGGAAGTTGAGTTTGGAGTAGAATTAGGATTTGATGAAATGGGCAATTGTTTGGTATGATCTTTATGCTTTGGGATGTACATTCTCGAACTTGGTTCAATGCTACACTTGTTGAAAGTCTCTGTACCAATCCAGAACGGGTGGTCCCTCGATGACTGCTTGGGTTCAACAATGGGCCACTTATTGTGGGTTTGGTGAAAATTAGGGTATTGCTGGTCATAGGAAGTAGAAGAAGAAGGTGATAGGGAAGAAAATGTGAGGGTTTTCTCAGAAGAGTAGTGTTGTTGGTGGATTGAACTGCAACATGAGTTCCATTTTCTGCAAAGATCTTTGATTGACGTAGAATCCTAGAAGAGAGAAACGGAGAAATAAGAAAATAGTCATTGCTCAACATCGTATATATATGGATACGAAATTAGAACTTTTTTGTACAAATTTGAATTATAGAAGTTTCAAATGTGATTAACTACTCATGATTACCTGATTATCACCATTTTGTACTTTTTTCTCATTTTTGTATTGTTGAAGCCATGCGGGAAGGCTAGAAGTTGTGGAGTCACTGTTACAGGTGCTACTTGGTAAGCTTCGAGCTTCAGTCTCAAACTTAGCTGAACAATCAGCACAACAAGTGAGTTGTTTGTCTTGCCCACCTTCAAGAATAATCCAGCTGCTAGACCCATTTTCAGCTTTGTTGCTTGTGGACTGACTTAGAAGATCACTGAAGAAAAAGGTAAATGGAGATGTTATTAGACTTTGTTGATCATGTAGAAAAACGTAAACATTGAAGTTGGTAATAATAACATGAAGCTACTTGTTGTTGGTTAGTGATATTTTTCATTACTTTGAAACTCTTTGAATTTTTAAAAGTGCAACTTGTATAATAACATGGTGCACATTTATAAAAGCCAAAAAAAAAAAAAAAAAAGAGGCTATATTGTTGGGGAGGTATACCTACTTCCTTTCTTCCAGCCGAAGAAAAAGTGATGAATTTTTATCATTTTAGCATACAAAATTACGTTAAAGTTATGTCTATATTTCTTTTCTTTCCTCTAACAAACTTGAATTTTGAGTTTCCAAAAGAGAAAGAAGATGGAGTAGAAACTTTATTCGAAGGAGTACTTCTTTCATTGATCAACAACTACTTCTTTTTTCTTTTCTAAAAGCAAGTTGAAAAAGAAAATTCATTTACTTAGTTCAGACGAAATTCAAATCGTAGAGAGCAAAAATATAGACTCAGATAATGCTATACAATTATATGCAACTTTACTAATTATACATTTACCTGTCACTGATGAGACTCAAGCGTAAGCTGCCTGCAGGAATTGTAAGTGGATGGAGACCCAAAACAGTATCTCCTGATGGATGGCCTGATTTACACTTCATGTAAGTTTGGAAGGTGGCAGTCCCCATAAGCCAAAATCTTCCATTATTCTCTCCAATTCCACAAACTAATTTGCCAAGCTCTATGATCATGTACTCCATTGGACAGAAATAGCACCTCCCTTTCTCACTTGATGAACTGCTAGCACTATTCTCAATAGCCCATTTGAGATCTCCCAAATTCAGAACAACTCCTTTGCCCATGTAGTTTCTCAAATGGTTTTTAAGCTCTTCAAGTTTATGTTCTACCTCTACCCTAGAGAAATGGCCAAAAGAGGAAATTGGAATTGTTAAAAACTTCACTTCCCTCAAAGCCTCTGGAACATCTCCTTTATGAACTTTGTCCATGACTCCTTTCACCACAACTTCTATACTAGCCAGAGACTCTCCGACAATAACAAAACCCCTCCTCGGTTTGTTCACTAAATGCTCTATAACACACATCACATCTCCATTTTTAATTGGATCTAAAACTGTTGCTTTTGCTCCAACCTGACTGGAAGGAGGAGAATGTGAAAGGACTAAACCATTGCTTTCCTTGGACTTGCTACTCACAGAAGGAGCACTTTGTGAACATATTTCTAAAGAAACAGCTTGCTCAACATTGTTTTTCACTTGAGTGCTAGAGAAACCAGCTTCTCTCATGACTCTACTAACACTTGGATCATCTAAAATAGATATTATGAGCTGCTCTAACTCTATTTTCACTGCAAGGAGAGGCTGCTGCTGGTTCTCAATAGAGCCACGCCGTTGGTGAGCCTGAGCGCGCTTAAAGGCTGCGACCAAGGCATTAGAGATTGATGGGAACTGTTGAGAGTGAGTACCTAACATAGGGCTTGAAGTTGAGGCTGGGAGGCGATTAAGCGCAACATTGAAACAAAGCTCTAGGGCTTTGCACTGAAGGGGGTGAGAGTGTGACTGAAGGCAAGCTGTTCTCAATAGGCCAGTGGAGGCAGAAAGCATGGTGTTGGCAACATGGAGAGGAGTGACTTGGGCATGGCCTCGCCGTCTAGCAAGGGTTACTGCTTGTTTGATAACATTTGCTGCCTCCGCCGTTAGAGCTTGTTGCACTGTGCAGCCTCCTGCTCTCATTTTCTATCTCAGGTGCTTGTTATTCCACGGTAAAATCAAAAGTCAAAAGAACTTCAAAAATAGAGTGAGATCAGAAGGGTTTATTAACTAGGGCTTCTAGTTTCATCTGCTTTGAATGAACTGAGCTAGTTATGGAGGAAGAACTCATCAATTAACAAGGGAAGATATATATTTGAATCGTTTCAGGAGTTTTCTTTTTATTTTAGGGTTTGACAGAGAGGGTGTGATCTTTGTATCTATTTCTAGTATGCAAGCGTACTAATTCCTATGGAGGTTGTTGCTGGTATAGATAGGATGACGATAATATTTGGTCGTGGAGAGATATAGAGAGACGGGGGAGAGAGAAGTGTGGGAAACATATGAAAATTGAGGTATGCTTTTCTTGTAGATGAGGTAAAATTTGGGGTCCAAGGTCTGATTTTGTAGTGGAAAGTGGACTTCATGTGCTGACAAGCAGGACGAATGCAGCAGTATCAAAGGCAACTCAGCTTTTGCGCTATATACATCTCTCTCTTTCTTTCTTCTCTCTATCCTCTATCTCTAGATCTCTCAAATTTGATAAAGATGCGGTTTCGCTAAGTGGGTCTCTCTCTTTTATGCAACCATTAAATTACATTAATTAGCCTATTTAATCTAAAAATCAACATCCATATGTCACCAGTTGCCAACAAAGCTCACCACAATCACACCTTTCGACACACACACTATCACACACATATATAACTCACTTAGCCACATGAAAGCAACAAATCAGGAAATAAAAGCCTACATTTTATAGTATTTAGTGCCCTCGCTGCCAATTAATATTTGAGTGTAAGTTAAAAGACGATTCCCACCCTATCTATAATATATATATTTTTTTTTGTCATGGCAAAAATAATTCGGCATTATCAAATAATTAAAAATCGAATTTCACTGAGAATGGGAGAGAGTAAAGCCTGAGAGGGAATTAGGGCTCGTAAGGATAACAGAGTATTAGGGTTTTGAATTAAACATGCAAAAGGGACTAATCAGTTAGTTGTTGTGCTCTTGCTAGAGTTTTATCTTCTACGTTTGAATTCCTATTGTTCTCCATCTGTCATACTTGGCGTACAATATATATTTCGGAAGTGATAATTGATATCAGTTAACCTTAACAAGCGTATCAATATAAATAAAAATAAAAATAAAGGAGGGGGCATTTTGGAAATTCACCGTACTTTCACATGAAAATTTGGCTTCGAAAATGGTGGCTAAAGGGCGAATGTGATATCTTTTTCACCATCCTCCAAAGACGAGGCCCTATAAAGCAAGAGAATGGGGGACTACGTGTCTGAAGGAATCGGGAACTGTGTACGATTTTCTTCCGGACTCAAAGACAAGGAATAAAGTGTCTCCATTACTTGAATATATTTATTGCACATTATATTCACATAACTTGAAGCTTTTAATGCATACATATACTATGTATATTGCATGGGGATTGTAAGAACTCGCACAAACATTCCCTCGTTTTCCCTTTTCTCTCTCTCCATTATTTCATAAAGTTGGAGCTTTTTTGGACCCAGCTCCCCTTTGATTCAAACAATGAACAGATTAATCATCAAGAGAAAAAATATATATATGATAACGAACTCATCCGGGTCCAAGGGCGACGTTTGATGAGTTTCTTTAGGTTTTTTTAACATCTATTCATTTCGTCTTTAGCCATTAACACGTGTCCCATGTCATCCGTCCAGTGGTGGATCAGCTGAGTGGAGCTAGAGGGGCAGTCACACCTCCTAACAAAATTTGCTTTAATCAGTATATATATATACGCACACACATAATAACATTTGTATATAAAGTTATTATGAGTACCTGTCCCAAAATAAATAAATAAAATAAGAATTGCATGAGTACTACTTATGATGAAGAAAGAAAACAAGAGACACATATAGATGAATTCCTTAAAAATTATTTGCTCATATATTTGTTTACATTTACAAAGAAGATTATTGAATTTTTTTTTATATTGATTCCATAAGTGATGAGTTGGTATCATAAAAGAATATTAAACAAGATAAATATATTTGAAGAGAATAGTAAATGATAGTATTCAGTAAAGATCTCATATTTTTGCGTCTTCGTACTATCACTTTACAATTTATATGGATGTTCAGAATATGCAGTATTTCCTCATATATTCATGTTTTATGGAATTTTTTTTTTGTTTTGAGAAAATATATTATCATAAATTATTCTTTTATCTATTTTTTTAAAAAATTATTTAAAATTTTGGCCCTCCTATGCTAACTTTCTGCCTACGCTACTGATCAACCATTAAAAACGTAATGATCATTGTACTTCACTGTCTTTCACGCAAGATCGTGTATCATGTGCTTTTAATAGTGGAAATCTCACTATTACTTATATATATATATATGGTAGTCGCTATTTTCAAATGAATTTGTCTATTTGTACAGTAAGTTTTAATTTTTGAGAAAGATGAATTGTTAATGGGGTGATGATCATCTTCCAAGTTGGTGATTTCAGATCGAGGAGTAAATTTGTCTTTGAAACATGGAGGATAATTGAACTACAACCTTCAAGCAATTTTTTTTTTTTTTTTTACTCTCTCCTCATTATTAGCTCAAAATGCACACTAAATAAATTTATATTCATCTCTCATTAATCATTACTAACAATTTAGTTATTTTTTCTCCGCAATTTACTCTTTAATTTATTAACACACAACCATTCTTAAAAAAATTAATTTTTTCTTAAAAGGTAATCTTATAACAATTACTCCTATGGGAATTCACCTTCTAATTTGATCCAGTATGAAAGACACTTTATAGTGAATTTACTCTTCTATTCACTCATTCCGTGTTGACCATATGTATTTTCCTTTAAAACTAATAATGAATTAATCCGACTTGAATCACATCCATATGCATGGAAGATGGAACTAACTAGCTAACTATATGCTCTATTATTATATAAATATATTTTACGTAAGGATAGATTTTCTAACATTTTTTTATTATATTGATCAACTTTTATCAAAAAAAGAAAAAAAAAGAAAAAGAAAATAAATAGTTAAAATTTAATTACGTAGAAAGGCTTAATCTGTATAGTATAGCTAGTTTTTTTTTTTTTTTTTAACTTTATATACTATTTATTTATTATTTATTTCTTCAACGCGAAATAGATTTTTTATCACACGAAATTCACTCCATAGATGCTATTTATTAATTCGGCAATAGTCAATTAACAAATTCAGAATAATCTATAATTCTAAAAGATCTCATAGCCCCTCATGTTCAAAAACATAACCAATAACAAATAATACTGCTAGGTGTTTTGATAATTATAACCTATACTGGTCAACGAGCACACGGTGCAAATTTTATGGTGACCAAATTTCATAATGTTAATTAGAATGAAGAAATAATGTGTATATAACGTAGTCACTATCACTTCAAAAAATTTTTCATGCACGATTGGTAATTAGCATAGTTTGTGTGAGAGTGTGTTAGCTAAATTTATTTTGGGCTGTTTGAGATGGTCTTACTAATCTTAGCTAGCGTGCCCTGGCATAGAAAGGAGAGTTACACTGCTACTCCCACCATATCCACATATGCATTTCAAAAATAAACAAATCAAAACATATTTTCTTTACACAGGAAACGAGAGATCTCCCTTTCATTCTTCAATCATTTTCGACTTTTACCTGTTTCACTTCATATATAGAAATTATACCCTTGAAAATCAGTGCTTAGTACTGGTAATACTTTCAGTCTAAATATTGTCACCTTGCAAGAAAAATAGGTTGCAAAAAAAGTTGCTAGATAATTCCATAAAGAGATAGAGTAATCTAACTCATAACAATCATAGAATAAAAGGTAATGCTGAAGCAAACTAGTACCAGATTTTTTATAAGTTCATCTCCTGAAGAAGTAACTATATATATTCTACCCAGCCAATTCTAAACAAGCAGAAAAGAAAGTTATTTTTGTTTTATAGAGCCGGGAACTGGCCAAGAAGAAAATAGCATTGAAGCCAAGAAGGAAATATCATTCAATTGACAGGACAAGACATGACAGGAGAAATAACAAGAATTTGTCATCGCTGGGAATGTTTCAAATGCCACTGCCTTTGTAAATGTGCCACAATTCCTTGTAAATATTCTCTTATTTTGTTGTTTCTTACCTTTTTTTGGACAAATCTACGAGAAGCTATCATGTCCATACTTAGGTCAGGAATACTAGGGCTACCACCACATATTCTATTAAACAATGCTTTTTGGATTCTGCCATGTAGAGGTACTTTCACCTAAGCCATAAAGAGATTTTTTTTTATTATTATTATTATCGTCGTTTGACAAGAAGAGTAGAATTTGACCAAAACCTTCGTACTAATCATCCACTAAAGAGAAAATTTAACGTGCATAAAAATGAAATAGCAGTGGCCAATTTCTTTTTTAGTATAGCTGTATAGGAACCCAAATTGTTCATGCTTAATAACAAATAATCTAAACTCCGGACTGTTTATTCTTTCTCAGTCGCCAGTCAAAAAGCTTCTCTCTTTGTTGGCCTAAAAAGACATACAAAGCGCACCAAATAATTTGAACACCAAAGCATACTGCAATACTGGAAAAGAAGAGTTTGAATGAAAAGAGAGGAATATATATGGTTGCTTAGAGTGCACCCTAGCTAGCTTCTAACCCTTTCTATCCCTCGCCAATAAGGGCTAGCTTTGTTTTAAATAAAGGTTAAAACTGCAACAAAAGCCATTCATAACTGTTACTACTTGCTAAATCTATATACGTTTTGGGCAAACCAAAAGAAGTTTGTCAAAGTGAAAGTTAGGGTTATATCTTTTCTCTTCTTTCACCATCAAACTCTTTAATTTTTGAGGGAACACATTGCATTAGAGACCCTTATACTTGCTTCTTTTCTCTTTTGCTTAAAGTAAAGCACTCTCTCATAAAGCATATATTAATAAAAGTAAAATATGGCATTATCTACTCAAAAGGGTCGCTCATTTTATGCTTTTAAGCTTCAAATAAGCATCTTTGGAGTATTACGTGGCCATGTGGATGAAAGCAATATCCAAGGGAGGGAACAGAACTCATAGAGAGAGAGATGGAAAGTTTTTTTTTTTTTTTTTTTTTTTTTTTTTTTTTTTGTCTGCTGGGCGGCCAGACTTTAAAGTTTTCATGGAGAAAAAGTTACTCGAATTTTGACATGACAGCCTTGTTAATGTAAAGGTGATGGAATTACGTACCAAACACTCCTTTTCCTAAAAGTTTGCATTATCTTATGTTTATGTTATGTAGTGTTACTTTATGCCTAGTATCTGCTCTCTTACTTAATATAAAATTTCTTACGAATCCTTGTCCAAGTTGATTTCTTAATTAATGTGAACTTGTTATTCATTGGTGTAAAGCTTCCCTAAATATAGAAGTGTAGCATTTTCTTAGGTATTTTTAGCAATTAAAATAACACGAGTGTCGTGTTGATCTACAACTAAATGGTTTTATGGGTTTTAAATAAATTATTGTGTTGATTGTTAGTGTTGATTTTTGAATGTATTATGATGAAAAAATGAACCAAAAAAACCTAAAAATTCGATGTGATCCCTAGATTGAATGTGGTGCAACTCGATAAAATTAATCAATTGCTAAAGTGTTTAAATAATAAATTGGTATGTTAGCATGTCATAAGCTAGGATCCCAAAAAAGACATCAAAGTTAGAGGAGGAAAAGATCGGTGAAGTTTCTATTAGAAAACAAATCAATTAAGAAAATAGAGCAAAAAGCCATGAATAATCACACTACACAATGATTTATATGGTTTGACAATTATACCTACTCTATGACCGTACTAATATTTTTTATTAAGATTTTATTAAGTGACGGCTTACAAATACAAATGATGTTTATAGTGTGGACAACTAGATTTATAATAAAATAAAATAAAAAAAGACCTTACAAGCCTATACACCTAACTTAATACTCTATAAACCTTTCGAGCCCTAAACTACGGATCTCATTCATATCAACTTTCACAACTTAACAATCTCTCACTTAGAGATCGATCTCCAAATAGCACCAAAAACCTCTTGTAACTCGTCCCTTTTCTCAACCAACTTCAAGTCCTCCTAGTGTAAACCTAGCCTTCTCATCACTAACCGTGAAGGCCAACCGAGGCAATGCAAAGCCTCGGCTTATCAATGATACTTATCTTGGTCAATATATTAGTTAGATTCTTCAATCCTAAGATCTTGTTCAAACATATTATCCTATCATCCAATAACTTTCGGATATAGTAATACTTTAACTAAATACATTTGGTTCTTGCATGAAAGATTAGATTCTTGATAAGATGAATTACACTCTAAGTGTCACTAAAAAGCTCATTGTCATCTTGTGGCCACTTCTTTTAAGAATTTCTTCAATCAAATCATTTCTTTACCAACTTCTAAAATAGCCATAGACTTTTTGGATGTGAATGAATTTTTAAAATTAAAATATGTTAGTGATACACGTGGTAATGAGTCAAGTGGATGAAAGAGTGTTTATTTAATATCAAGAATAAACAAACTAGGCTTATTCTAAATACAATGTTTGACTCATTAAAGATGTTTAAAATTGATGGAATGAGTTTTTACTCATGTTCGTGATTTTTAAGGCTTGGTTTAAAGACGAGTGTTGGAATTATACCAAATTAGCACTAATCTTCAATTTTTATGTGCTAAAGATTTATTGTAATAGTAGTTGTTAATTTCCTACTTGATACAAGATATGTTATGAATCCTTGTTAAAGTTAGTTTCCAAGTTAATGTAACATTTGTTATTGGTTGAAGTAGAGATTCTATAAATATAGGAATTTGGTCTTCTTTTAGATGTGTCTAATGATTAAAACAACACTAGTGCCATGTTTATATGTTGAGTTACAACCAATTAGTTTTATGAGTTTTAAATAAATTATTGTGTCCATTATTAACAATGGTTTTTAAATCAATGAAATAAAATATTATGTTTCTTGATATTTAATTTCTACAAACTAGTTAATGAAGTTTCATTAACTTTAACATCATGGTATAATGAAGAATTAATTTCTTAGTTTAGCTCAAATTCAATGCACTAATTAAATTGAAGCCAACCATGAAGGTTCTTTCTATTTTGTTTCAATGCACAGTTCTCCCAATCAAGCAAGAGCTACAGTCTCTAACAAGGAGCATTCAATAAAGAGAGATGCTTCCTATGTCAAAAATTTAAGGTGACCAAGATGGATAGCTTAATTAGTTTCGGAGAAAGAGATGAATCAAGAGGAAAGTCAGATTTGTCAGAGAAGCCAAGCTTTGGACGATCAAGTTTGTGATATTCAATGGCCAATGTGAAAGGATTGGGTGACTTGATTGTGTTAAATATTCAACTCTCTCTCCCCCAAACACACACACACAACCCACCCCCCCCCCCCCCCCCCAAGGCGTCCGTGCAAATGATTGTTTTTTTTTGTTGCATTCTTTTGCTTTTTATAAATAGAAAGCAGAACAACCCAGTATAATTTTCTATATATATATATATATTAACAAAATAGAAAGAAAGAAACTCTGATCTCACGTACAGAAAGAGATCAAAACATTAACAATGGAAAAACAACCAGAACCGATGTCGTCAAGTGCGAATCAATCTTCTAGCCCATAAAATTCTCCAGAAGATAAGCTTAAGCAATCATGGGTATTTTTCAATTTTCGATTCCAACCTCTATATTTCTATAATTTTTGCTATCAAGTCTTATCTGTTTTAACAATGGAGATAGTAGAGATTATTTTTCAATTGGTTTATATATCTAAAGTTATAAGAATATATTAGGATAATATAGTCATATTTAAAAAGTTTTAAAAATCTTTCAATCGAGCGTGATAATCAAAAAGTAATAAGTTAAAAATTTTAACTTATCCGATTAAATAGATTTTAACTGAACTTAAATTTTTAATATGAGATTATTTAAGTTATCAAACAAACTTTTTATATTAAGTACTACAACTTAATTTTGTAAACTACTTAATTAGATTATCAAACACCTCCCTTAGCTTTACTTTCTTCTCCTGAGGAGGTTTGGATCGAGGAGTATCCACCTGAAATTGAGACTATTGTTTTCTTTGATTCCGACTATTATTGAATAAAATTCTTTTTCATTCTCAAAAAAAGGAAAAAAAAAAAGTGAATATATACATCCTATATCCACTCCTAATAACGTAATTGAACCAATTCTAACTTTCTAAGTACATGTCTGCTTAGATAACTGCACTGGAAGGGGTCAGTACCAGTATCAGACCAGACTATTTGACTTCTAGGAAAAACCTGTCAAACTAAATCCAAATGATCCTGTAAAATTTTGCACTGGTTAATGGTCGAGAAGTACAGTTCACCCGTGATCACCATATTCATGGAAGCAGAGACAGGTACATGTACGAATGCAAGCACATGCCAGTTATAGACAAATTATGTACAAGTACAATAAGAAGTCAATGACAAAGTTATGGGTACAAAAAAAATATTCAAGTTAATAAAATTAAGTATTCTAGAGGAAATAAAAACAGAAAGCAACTCAAATTAATCAGGAGGCCCTGTATTCTTTCTAACAACGAACATAAAACTCTGCAGCTTCAGGTCTAATAGTTGCATAGAAGAATATTGTACACTATTGCTATCCAGATCACCTATGTATAATAAAATGACAAAATATTGAAAAGAAAAACGAAAGGAATAAGAGAGAGGGATAGAGATTGTTAGTTTAACCTAACCTAACTCATACAATCTCTCACACTAGAGCTCATCCATCTTGACCAGCTGAAGAACCGCCACAATAATCATTCTGAAGTAGAGGACCTAGTGCGCTGCTAACAGAGGATCTCTGCTTACTAGTTTCCTCAAGTACTGCCGATTGAGCAGCATCACAAGCTTTTGCATTTGGAAAACCAATTGTCCATCTCCCATCTGCAACTTGATTGAATGCCTTTGATTTGTAGCTTCTATTTTTACCCACATTTAATCTGGGTTCAAACTCTCTTATCCTGAGATGCAGCCATGTGGGCTGATCCTTGTCTATCTTCGGCTGTCCGGTGGGGGAAAAAAGTCATAACAGTATCCTTTGTTGATAACAGAGAAATTAAAAACAACAACTTGCTCAAAAGTTCAAAGTCTTAAAACAGGCAAAAAGAAGTTAATAACGGAAATATAAACATAGCACAAAAAGGAGAGTAACTGACCCATAGGTAAAGATCTGGTGAAAGACTATCAAATAAATGTCAAGGAATAAATAATGGAGTTCGTTGTCTTATTAAGATAGAAAATAAGTACTCAGAGGAAGCTTAACTCATTTTTTCTACCTTAAGTAACTTGAAAAAAACCAAGGGAGCTGATATTATCTCTAATTTCAACCCCAACTCATTCCAAACTTGTTTCCGATAACTTTGGTCCTTCAGACAGTTCATTTTTAGAAATCTGCCATGCATTATGGTCATATCTTAAAAAAATTCAGCCATATACAGCCTTGATTCGTAATTTTTCGAGTCTACCTCTCAACCCAGCACCGCCTTGATTTGTAATTTTTCAAGTCTACCTCTCAACCCAGTAATTGCTTCAATTCTATACCTATTGCACCCAACTATTATAGCCATTGATATTTGCGCAATGTCCTCCTCATATCCTTCCTATTATTCCCTTCCCACAAATCAAACTTATATCCTGCTTTAGCTCAATTATGAAACTATTTCTGCTAGAATTATAACCCTAATCATAATGATAAATCTTGCAACAATGCATGTCAGCAAGGAATGTTGAGCATAAAGAAGAATGTTAAAGGTATTGGTTACATTATTTCTATCTAGCAAGCTGTAAAGATATAGATATTGACATTATTGATGATGACATAAGCAATCTGTCTTTTACAGAGAATTTCTTCTATTGTTATATCGTATCAGAATAAAAAACAAAGAAGGGGAAAGAAAGATTGAATGATGCGATAGGGGTACTACTCAATGGACATCTCATATTGTACGATATTGTATTCACATGCAAACTTAAAAATGGTGTTAAGATACACTTTTCTAGACAGTGTACAGAATCTTTTACACTTTCTAAGATCTCAGAATATTTAGATGAAAAAGTCTTCCAATAATTCTCACACACTGTTCAGTTTCAATTGTGCATGTTCTGCAATAATACACAAATATATTTACTATATATGGTCTCTAACTTACGTCTTAACCTACAGAAATAATTTTGCTTTTCTTGACATAATTTTCTGAATACAAACCATCTATCTATCTTTGGTATAAGCCATCATCTTTTTTTTATACAACAAGAATGGCAAAGAGATGGCTCTTATCTTTCGAGAACCCAACTAACATCATGATTGCCTGTGTAAAATTTCAGAAAAAAGCTAGTAAATTTTCACATCATTCTTATCCTGCATTCAATTTGTCCCTCATTTATTTTTGAAAGTGGTATCATTCCAGTCCACTGATATCTTAATCGTTATCCAATCTGAAGGCAGTCCAGGGAAATAGTCTGATAAATGAAATTTGCCCGACAATGAGACGAGTATTTGCCAAAGCAACAGAGAAGGCCAACAATGGCCTTGGTTGGCAACAGTGCTAAGCAATTTCATTGAATAGTCTGGTCATACCAAGTTCTAAGCATCCATGCAAGGTAATCTCATTATCATCACAGCAATATTTTTCCTTGCATAACTAAAGTTTAACAGAGTCTGGACTTACACTCAATCCTGCCAATGGAGCAATGGCAATTACAAGACCACGTTGACTGCGGAAGGGATGTTTCTCCACAAGAAGCAATTTCCCAGACATTCCCCTTGCCACAGGTATCAGGTAAATATCTCTGATTCCTGCATTTGAGAAGGCAATCCTGCAAGGGATTCCCGAGCCTGCAAATGTTTCATAAGTGAAAAAATGAAGACATGTTGTAGGAGGATATGTTGAACGGAGAGTGGAAGGTTAATGACTCCCAACCTATGGAAACCTCTGACCCAAAGCTAGCAAATGAAAGACCTGAAGCTAGGTTTTTTGCAGAATCAAAGGGAAGAATGACTATGGAATCCAGGAAGGACTTCTCAAGAAACTCTCCTTTGGAAATAAAAGCCTTCAACTGAAGATGCAGAATGAAGACCTGCACGTATTATTATTATTATGTGGTCTTCAACATCCCAGAAAACCTTAATGTTAAATGCACAATTATGAAGAAATGTAAACAGCTCAATGCTTGCAAATTGTCAAAAAGGGCTCAATAGGTAAAATAAAAGTAAAAAGGTATCAAAAATAACAATAGATGCTTGAAGTGGACAGATTTGAGAAACTGTTGAGAGTAGACAAAAACTAAACTGTGGTCAAAGATAAAAGCATTTAAGTTCAGAAATCTAGAGTAAAAGTGGAGGAAAACTTGCAAAACACATGGATAAGGACATAGTATTCTAGCTCTGAACATGAAGAGGCTACATGAAAGATTCCCAAGAACATGAAGAAAGGTTGCAACTTAACATTGGTTGCCCAGAATTTTAATAAGAATAAATGGTAAAAACCTTCACTGCATCCACCATTCTTTGCCAAGCCACATGGGAAGAAGTTGCGTCACCTGCAATGTGAAAAATACTTTATTTTCCCCTTAGCAAGGGATAGAACTAAATTGAGAGGAAAATTTTCAATCCAACCAAAGAGAAAAGGAAGAGAAAAGTGCACTTTACCATCAGCAATCTGGCAGATAGCAAGTTCTAGAAGGAAAAGGGGGTCTTTGGATTGGGATGGTTCCTCGAGAGCTGTATGTAACATCAAAATAGATCAAATGAGTTCCACCAAAATAGTATCGTATCCAATACGAACCCTACTGTCTGAAGCAGCTCTAGTTCCATATCGAATTAGCAAACAGCTACCTGTTTTACAGCTTGCCCATTCATTTCTCAAAGCATCCATGATATGATCAAACCAGAATCCATCTAGTTCTTTCTGGACACACTTGCAGGACCGCTCATACGAGGTCTGTTAAGGGGAACTAGAAGATATAAAACTTTAGAAAGTTTGGGGCATAATTCTAAAGAAACTCCGAGAAGCACTTATTCTAAGGTAAGAGGAGGTTTGCTCTTTCAATTAGCACACGAATAGGGCTACCAGTGGATCGGATTTGAACTGGATCCAATTTGTTTAATAAACAGGTCGAATTGGATATTATGAATTTGAATTCAGTTTTTGCAATTGTCGATCCGTATCCTAACGAGTTCAGATCAGATTCTACTATCCATCAGATTTATCATTCAATTTTTTTTCAAAGAAAAAGTGTAGTCTACATTCAAAATCAAGCTTCAATGAAAAATGGGTTTCAACTATTGCATGTATAAAAAAATATGTTATAATAATATTTAATGCTTCAATTTAAAAAAATAAAACAAATGTCTCACCATTAAAAAAACAAAATCAAATAATCCCAATAAAAATTTATATTACAGGCTAAAATTAATTTAAACTAAGCAAGAAGTATGACAAAGGTAAAAATATGTATATATAAAATTACCTACTATAGGCACAACTTGATTGGCATGAAATAAAATCCTATTGTTTTACAAATAACAAGCCTGAAATGGAGAAAAATTTCAGATTGAATCAAGATTTTAAAAATTAGAAACACAAGTATAATACTAGTAACAACTTATTAATTATTTTTTTTTCATACAATAATAGGATTTTTTCACAAAATTAACATGAAACTTGAACAATGATAACAAAAAACTTATCATATAATTATTTGAAAGAATAGCCATCAATGTAGAGGAAAAAGAAACAGAAGTATAAAACATTTCTTAACATTTATAGAATAAATAAACCCTAAATCTAAACCAAGCGCCATATTTTTTTCTTATTTTTTATATTTAATTTTCTTTATGTTTTTAAATATTATATTTATTAAAAATAATATTAATATTTATTTCAGATCGAAATATTATCAGATCGGAACAAGATAGATTTGTATTTGATCCATTTAATAAATAGGTTAACAGATTCGAGTCATAATCAGACTCAGATCATAAGATTTATATACCAAATTCATTTAACTATATTGAATTTGGATCAAGATCCGATCCATTGCCCGCCCTACACAAGAATAAATTCAAGAATGGATAGCAACAAAGCTGGATACTACATTGCTATGTGTTATTTTGAGGTAATTCAGTTTTCTAAAAGAAAAATGAAAATAAGCAGAATTCTTACATTAAATAGATGGAAATTGTGTTCATCAAGCTTGATTCCTTTTAAAACCAGTAGCTCCCCCAGGAACCATCCAGTATGCCACTTTATTTGCACAGTGATTGGTGGTTCACTTGCTAAAACATTCAATAATGCATTTAAAATCTGAAAGAATTTGAACCAAAGAAAAAAAAAAGATAACAATGATAATAAGTTCCTGATGAAAATGAAAGTCAAAAGGCACCAAGCTCTAAATGATTAAATATTAACCAGGCGAAGAACACAAAAAGTAGTCTAGGGCGTAGGGCATACATTTTTATTCAAGGACTAAAATGGAAATTTTCAGGAAACAATTACGTTGCCATAAAGATACCTGAGGCATAAACTTCACGATTATACTTTCCTCCATTACCTGTGGAGCTGAGATGTATTAATTCTAAAAGTGAATTGTTCAATAATATAAATTAAAGACTAGAAAAACGTTGAGTGATCACTGAAATTAGCCATATTAATTTAAAGATTTCTCTCGTTTTCTGGATGAATTACTAAATTCATTGGATAAATATTGCTATTGGTATCAGACCTCAATGCCAGCTTCCTTATTTCTAGTAGTTATGCAATGAGTTGCTGTTCTTCCTTGTCTCATAAGCTAAGGAAAATTCATCCCATCCAAAATGTTTTCCAAGGATGCATAAAGAGTCAAATGGTGGTTGGGAGAAATATTAACATGTTACAGTAAGTCAAAGACCCAGGCAAAGGTAAGTGTTCAATTAGTCAGCAAGACAGAAAGCATGAAACTTTCACTGAACCCAATAAGCACAACGCCAGCTACACTCACTGGAACTGAATGTTTAATATCAGCATGTCCAGAAAATGATGGCACTAAAGAATTCATGTAGCAAAACCGCATTAATTTGGGATTTTAATTTAGTTAGGAACTCAAGTTGTGATCTAAAGTCCTACACATAAGTCCTCCCCCATACCCCGTGAGCATGACCAAGGCACGCACACAAAAGACACAACTCTGCTGCACTGGTTACTATGCATGGTAACCAAAAAAAAAAAAAAAAAACCAATTTTCTAACTTTCTAAATACACACTACTTAAGGAAAGGAAAGGTTGGAGAAACAAAACAGAAATCAAAAGGGAACACATATGTGTATCTCTAGTACCAGAAAGATATCAAAAAGATCCATTGCACTTGATATTTACCATACCATGCTGCTTGCACTTAGGCTAACCATTGAAGCCAGTAAATCCTCAAGATCTGATAAGACAACAGAATATCAAAAAGACAAATAAACGATGATGTTGATCCATTATACTCTATCTTTAGTCTGAATGATTTAAGAACCAGAAAATATATGATACCTTTACTTTCTGCTAAAGTAATCAATAAAAACAGAGACGCAAGTGAGAGACTGTGGTTGTCAGACAAAATAAAAGCCAGTATTCTGCCTCTGCAGTTGGAAACATTTTGCAGTAAGTCCACAGGTACACCAAGATTGCAAAAATCATAATGCAGAACAAAAATTATTATCCTGCAGAGCATTTCGTCTAGTTGACAAACATAGCCCATGAATCCATGTTCCTTAGAGGTCATAGCCACCTACATGAGCAGTTTAACATTCCAGGCATCTTGCTGCACAGTGTCTTCTATCCATCCACTAAAATCTAACCCGAATTCCATTAAGTTTAGTCTCAAGAAGAATCCGCCAGGATTCAATTATACCATTGAAAATTACCAAGAGCTAGAGAACATAGGCCATGGGAATCTACACTGGGTATCGGAAATAGAAAACAGCTCCCCCTTATCGATACAAGATTCTCTAATTTGCATCAGTGACAAAAACCTATATAACGTCACTTCTACAAGACTTTCTGGGCATCATCAAAAGAGAAGTTTACAAAATGATAGGAGATGATACATACTCTTGCAAATGCCCATGAAGAGGGTTCCAATTGACGCTTTCAGCACCTTCAGACTCAGAAATAGAACATGGCAATTTTTCCATACCATTCAGATGATTGAAAAAAGCACTGCTTGAATGAGCTTCCCATGCATCCCTCACACTTGAGGACATATAAGGATATAGAAGAACTCCAGCCACATAGTTAACAATACTCTCTCCACCAATGACTTGAATAAGACGAGAAACTATATACAGAGAAGTGATTGGAGATAGATTTGAACCCTGAAACAAAAACAGAGTGTTGCTTGACCCAGAAAAGCTTCAAAAGAAAAGGTACCAAGTGCACTACTGTCAAAACCAGCATATGAATTCAATGCAATGATTTGGGTTCTCATGGTATAATAGGTATCTAGTTCTGGAGGAGGTAAAAGGTAAATGAGGAAAGAATTCAAGGTTCTGAGGGAACATGAAGGCAAAGCTAAGTGCTACAACCAGCCACACTACCAGTGAAACAGTGAGAGGAACATGAAAGAGTGAACCAAAAAACGAATTCAATGGAGATGTGCACAGGTGGAAGTTCTTTCTCAGAGCTTTTGGCCTCAGTCTTCTTTGCAGTAATACAGATAGCATACAATGAAAACGAATGTGCAAGTGATCCAAGCCTAAGGTATTTCATCGATCCCAAATCTAAAAGGCACGTTTGAACATGCTTTCTGAAGAATGCAAATGCAGACTGGCACACAAGATAACACAATCTTAAAAGATATCCAGAAATTGTCTGATCAAATTCAAAATAGCAATGCAAAGGAATTAAGAGGAAGACATCTTACATCACTCTGTGTTAATTGAAGCAAAGGAAGCAATATGGGAAAGACAAGCAAGTTGAGAACATTCTGCGCAACCACTTTACACAAACGTGATTCACCAACACAAAGAATATCCTTTAAGTAGTACAGGTCATCAACAATTCTATCAGTTTCTAAAAGTAGTTCCTTTCTTCTTTGATTAAAGTCCATCTCCCTGCATAAAAGGGAATCAGTCCCATATAGTTTTTTGCAGACAGTGAATAGATTAAGATTGTTCGAATGATATAATATCTCTGAGAAATCGAAGGAACATACTCTGAAGCATGGACAACGTTGTCTAGATGAATGCATTGCTCTTTCAAGCTATGAACCAAGTCTGAGAAGTACTTGGAAACTGGAGGCGTTGTTATGAACTGATAAACCATATCATCACAAACTGCAAATCAAGAGAGTAATGTTGCAAGCTATCGATGGCCTATTCAACTTTCATAAGGAAACAAAGATAATTATAAAATACCATTATATATATTGAGAGTCACTGCACGTACAGCAGTCTGAATCATTTTTTCCCCATGCTGAGCAAATTTAAGAGCCTCGCTGTAGAGGGGGAAGGATACCACAGCATCCTGCCATAGGAGAAACGTGTGATCAAAACTGGAAAAAAGTCAATCTTACTGGTACAACAACACAGAAAAAACACAATAATTTTGAATGCATGCATGCAGGAGCACTGGCAAAACTGACAGCAGCTCCAATATTTTCTGGTTCCATTAAAACTGGAATGTGCATGTGTGAACCCCTGCACTTCTGCTAAGTGAATTCAGGCCATAGACCTGGGTCCACCTTATACTTATTACAACAGGCATGAAAAAAAATGAACCATAAATCTTCAATTTAATTATCAAACTGACACTAGGAAGCAAAAGATGCACTCTGACATGCCATTGAACATCAGATCAACCATAGTTAGCAACCTTCTCTGACAATTATAGTACAAAGGGAACTGGGAAGCATAACTATTTTAGCCGTGATATGATTAAACCAATTTTCTAGTTTGACTTCATTAGGATAGCGATATACAAAGGTTACTTATGAAAGATCTTGACCACTTAACTTTGTTTCCTCAATCTTCATAAAGAAATAAATATGTGCTTGATAGCAATATGGTTGTAAGGAAACATTCCACTCTACCTTGCAGGCTATAAAACAAACAATGCATCAAAATAAAAAGAATAGATGGTGAGCTTTTACCCCATGAACCTTTACAAGAAGGCAAAGAGTGTCTTCATTTATTTTGTTGCTCACCGCTCTGATTTAAAAAAATAATATCAAAAACAGGCCATGGCAAGGAGTTAGAGAAAATGTACCACCATTTTTATCGATAAATTCAAACCAAAGAGGACATATACGCCAATGAAAGTACAATGTTAAAGAGATTATGGATTATAGAGAGAGAGAGAGAGAGAGCAATTCCACCACCTTAGGAAAGATATATAATATTGAGCTAGATCTCCACCATCAAATTTGTATGGATGTGTGATAATATTGTTGATGTAGTCGTTGCTTAAACAGTAGTCTGCATTACAAAATCACCAAATGCGTCACTAAACTCATTTCAGCAATAAGGAAGAAAATTTAAAGCCCATTCTCCATTATTGAAATAAGCACATGGAACAAAAAAACACAGTGAGAGATGGATAAATAATTGTCATGTGCTGTACACATTCTAGAAATAAAAAATGATGGAGAATTAGCTCTTACAGATTGCATGTTCGCTCTCCATGTTTTGGATCATTATACTTAGATACTGAAGTAAAGGTGCCTCAATCTTTGAGTTCTTACTAATCTTTATTACACGAACAAACTCTGCCAAAACTTGGTGTTCCATGAAACACCTGCAGAAATCAGAAAATAAGATCTTTGAATATCATCAAAATCAAATGCAATGCAGAAAAGGGTGTCCAGGAATTTTGTACTCAAAAATCTGCGGATCTTGTCTATCGCCGTATGTAACTATCTCTACTATAGACTGCAGGAGATCCACAACTAATTCCTGGAGGTGAAAAACAAGAATGACAAGTTGATCATAAAAGAAAGATTTCAAGGATTACATAAAACTATCGCAGAGAATCAGGTGGAGCTATTAGCACTTCATAAAGTGTAATGGCAGTCAACTTCTCCCTCTATAAAAGTTGAGTACTAACAGCTCCAACCTAGAAAATTACATAGAAGTAGGTAGCTTTTACTTACGCCGTTGTGCATATCTACAACTTTGACCTTCTGCAATTCTTTGATTACATATCTACATGCAAAACCAGATTAAAACATCAATAACAATGATAATGACAAATTGACAACAAGTAGAAATATGTAGCGACACATAACTTTGGGAAATTGGGAATAAGAGCATCCTCGGGAATAACAAATGAAGCAGTCATATCATAGTTTTGAAGCAACACATAACTAGGGATAATACCACCACCAACTAATGGTTTTTGCAATTCTATCATTGATCACCCAATAATACTCCAGAACAACTAAATTCTCCAGTTTGCCTAGGAAAAAACTGGAATTGCTCTTACACATCCGAACAAAATCATCTTTAAAGCCTGCATTATTTCATAATTAAACCTAGCAAGTCCATTCCATTAAAAATCCTAATTCGTTTTACGTCAAAAATTTAACAAAATGACTCGTAATAACAAATACATCGCAGCCTTTCCTAATTTGCCAGGTAAAATTCAAATTAAACTCGATAAAAATACTAAAACTTAACAAATTAGAGATTGCAAAAGAAAGACAAGAAGAGTTACTTGAAGTATTGAAGAGAGAAGCGATCGATGGATCGCCAAAGCGAACGCCACATAGTAGAGGATCAAATCGAGCGATTCGAGAAAATTAAGTTTTTGGTAGATCTAGTTTTCAGTTGATGGATTATTAGAGAGGAAGAGAGAGTTAGATTTGATTTGTTTTACTCCTAAGTTGAGTTGGTCTTGAGAGTGTAACAGACTAGGTGATAGTTCGGTACCGTCCCGCGCGGAATGCATCCTAGGCATTTGCTTTGGTTTGGCCGTTTGGTGACAACCAACTTTCAACGTTGTCACTGTTTGGGAATTTTGAAATTTACGTCCATCTTGTCCAGAGAGCAACGCACCCTCTTTCTTTTTAACGGCGATGGACCGAGACAAAAAAAACCACTTAAAAAAAAAAAAAAAAAAAAAAAAAAGATCACTAATACATCATCTTTCAATATTTGTTATATAACAGGTATTAATAACTGAGGAAGAGTATATTAATAATTATCTAAAAAAAATTATGAGAATAACAATTTATTTTGTTAAATTTAACAGTATTCTATATATATATATATGACAAATATTGGTAAGAAGCATATTAGTAATTTTAGAAAAAGTAACACCAATAACAATTTGATTGGTGAATTTAATCATTTATTCATGTTATGCTTTTTTCTAATTTATTTTATTTTTTATTTTTTAAAAAATATAAAATATAAAATATAAAAATTAAATAGATATTATTGAAAGATTTATAAGAAAAGAAAATATTTTTATAATTAAATAATATTAAATTAAGCATGATCAATACTAATTAAAAACTAAATAATTAATTTTTAAAATAAAAAGAATTAATTTATAATTTACCTCAAGAAAATTGCATGCTTTTTTTTTCAAATCTCAAAAATATCATCCAACCATACAGACTAGTTTTAATACTATCAACAAAAAAAAATGTATCAATTTTTAAAAATTTCTAATTAAAGATTTTTGTTCATTTTTAAAGCTTTATGTGCATAATTCCATCTTTGTAAGAAACAACTTAATTTTGTAAAAATAAATAAATAAATAAACATTTTATGTTAGTGATTTTACCCCATAATTGATCCTTATACTATTATAAGTTTTTTGATTGAGAACCTCTACTTTTCTTTTTAATTAATTGAAACCTTCTAATCTTTCAAATTTATTAATTCGGACCCTCCATTAACTTTTCATCCGATATGACATATTAAAATTAACGATAACCGGTCACAAATAGACACGTAGCATAACCGGTCCTATGTATCACAATATTTCGTCAAAAAAAATCAAAATATTTTTTTATTAAACTAAAATAAGAAAAGATAAAATTGCTCTTATCCCCATTATCATCACTTAAATCAAATTAACACTCTCCCTCCCTCTTGTATGTCTCATTCTCTTCTTTATTCTCAACCAAAACACTATTAAAAAAAACACATAGAAAGTAGGCTCTATTGATCATTCACCATTGATTCTCTACATCAACAATTCTCCTCTATCGAATTATCCACGACCATAATCAACAAGTCCAAATGTCGAGTTGCCTCGGTCGCTATGGAACCGATGACCCATCTAATTTTTAGGTTTCATTCGGACCGACCTCATCCATTGACTCCACAATAATAACTAAAACCCCCTATAATAATCAAAATCGTACACCTAATTTTTCTATTGATACAACGAAACAAACGCAATTCAGATTCTAATTTCATTATCTCTCATTCACTCTAAAAGAAAGTCAAAAATCTAAAAGCCGCATATTTACTTGATCCATCGAAGAGATCAAGATTCAATAGTTGATTGGATTACAAGAGATTATTCGTTATTACTACTATCGATTCTCGATAAATATATAGATGATGAAAACATGCAAAGATTATACAAGAAAATCAATCCATAAGATCACCCCTCTAATTCCTTAGAGGTTTTTTAATATAACGGATGTTGAACATTTCAATTCATCATGGTTTACTTACCGTAGGCTAGATCCATATGTAAATGCAATGTTGGTTGAAAATTTCCAACCAAGCACCCATGTTCCAAAAATCATCTAGAAACTCATCAACACATCTCCGATATTGAAAAAAAGAGGTAGTAATGTTTCTCTTAGCTCCATTTTTCTTCGAGCAACCAAAACCACCTCTCTTCTCGCTCGTTGGTTTCTTTTCAATAGATATAGGCCCTCGTGTTCCTCTTCTTGTTGAGTCTTCTTAGAATTTGAATTTGCGTCGCCCTTTAATTCCAACTCTACTTAGACTCTATTAAATTCAAACTCCGAAGTTCGAACTTCAGACTTATAGCCATAGCTAATTCCTTCATATACCCTATATCAGAAGAAGATAAAAAACTAGGAATTTTTTTTATCGATTTTGATTTAAAGATCATGGCGAGTTTTTTACGAGAAAAAGAAGAAGAGAATAAGAAAGAACAATAGTTTGAGATATTTTTTATGGATTTTGGGATAATAGGATGGGGCAAACTTGTCTTTACCATTTATATTTTAATTCTAATTAGGAATTTATAGGTTGCTCAACTTGGTTAATTTAACTTAAATACCACGTGTCTTTGTACCATTGATTATCGTTAGTTTCAACTTGCCTCGTAGGATGAATAGTTAATGAAGTTATAACGAAGGGTCTCAATCAATAAATTTATAAAAGTAGAAGGTTTTAATCAAGCTAAGAAATAATAAAGGATCTCATTCAAAAAAATTAAAACTACAAAGGAATCAATTATGGGGTAAACTCGATTCCATATTATATTTTTCTTAATGTATGTGTGATCTGTCTAAATGTTTTCTTAATGTATGTATGCATTCCATATTAGTCATAGTAGTAAGCCTTAAAAGTTCGACCAAAATTCCTAATTAGAGTATTTGATAAGGAATCAAGTGTATTGATGATTGAATTTGAGTTTAATTATCAAATGAGTTTAAATTTTTAAATTAATTTTTTGCATTGTATGTATTTTTAGCCAAGTTATGCATGGATGATTATACCTTGGTATTGTTATGTTTCTAATTTTTAAGCTTTTAATGTTGCTTTAATTTTGATTGATCTTATGTTGATTCATAATTTTAATATCAAGTGATATTTTACGGTATTAGACATGGTCCGAGAATGAGAATCAAAGACTCGTACATGAATGGAGGATTGTTCAAATTCCAAGTCATCCATCTTTTTTTAGTTCATAAGTTATGCAAGAACAAATGCAAATTCAAAGTCGGATATCTTCTCAAAACTCGTTAACAACCAATTCAAGAAGCTCAATGCAATGATTTAATGATTCAAAATTATCGATGAAATTTTAATTATTTTTATTTTATTTTATATGATATTGATTCTATCTTAATTTTTAAAATTAAAATATTAAAATAGATAAATATGGGGAATGAATTTTCATAGAAGTAGAGGATTGCTTCTACAAGAGAACAATACGATCAAGAAAGCTCTATTTTGGTATAGTGTTCTCTTGTATAGTTTTCTAAGTACATTTTTAATTGAAGTGGAAGGCTTTAATTATCACCTAAAAGAATAACATTTCTTTAGTATTGTTAAGAATATAATAAATTATATGCTTGTAAAAACTTATATAATTATAGGCTTAATGTACTAGAAAATCATGAACTATACACGTTTTAATGATTTTAGGTCGTTCATTAGAAATTATATAGAAATGTTACCAACTAAGTATTCGATAACAATACTAGTACTCGATCTAATTTTTTGACCAAAAATCCAATCAATGTTGATATGGCAAGTGACAAAACATGACGGTAGGACTTAATATGCCACTTAGGATTCCATGTAAGTGTTAACATGGAAAATCAATTACAAAAACTTAAATGACATGTCATTCCATATAACCTAATTATAACAAAATTTCCAATCCCCAATTCAAATTAACCCTAACCCTTTTAATTTCCTTATCCTTCATCCGTTTTGTTCTTTCAAATTCCCTAGATGAAGTCGTTTTTTCCTCATTATTTCTTCTTAGACCCTCTCATCTTCCTACTTCATCTTCTCCTTCCTTCTTTCCATAATCGAAATGATAGATCCTCTCATCTTATTTGTTCATCTTCTCTTTTGTTCTTTCTTGAATCGAAATAAAAGAACCTCTCATCTTCCTTCTTTGTCTTCTCCTTCTTTATTTTTCCTTCATCTTCTTCTCATTTCTTCTTAAAATCAAACCCATAAATCATCCTTTTTTTCCTCTTTTGTCTTTTCCTTCCTTCTTCTCGTAATCGAACCCACGGATACTCTCTTCTTCTTCTTTGTCTATTCCTTTGTTGTCATCCCTTAAACCCACATACCCTTCAACCTTATTCTCTTATTTTATTGCCAAGCAATTACTATAGTTCTGCAAGTGAAAAGCCAAACCCTCTATATCCTTAATCCCTAAAATTCAAAATCTCAAACCTCCTAAGATGAACCTTTAACCACTCAAATTACATAACCCAACTATCTTTGTCTTTTGGTTAGTGTTTCTATCCATGGGATGGCAAATTATATCAAGATTAATTTTCATATTGGTGAAGTTTTTAATAGCATGAGTCCTATTTCTTATGTTGGGGAAGTAAGGGTTATATCAACCGAGTGATTAGAAGACCCTAATTTTATGAATTTAAAAGATCTATATGATGTTGTTATTGAAGCTGGATATAAAACACATAGGGTTATGGTGTTTAAATAGCCAGGTTTAAATTTAAATGAGGGACGTTTAATTATAAACGAGGGTGTGACGTTTATCCAAATGTTAAGTAAGGTATATAAATGTTTCGTGGAGGCGGATGAGAATGTTGAAAGAAATAGAGTCTTAACTCAAAAAAAAGGTACGGAAGATGCTTTGGGTGATAATGAAGGTGGTGATCCTTTGGGTGATAATATAGATGGTGATTCTTTGGGTGATGGTGGTTTGGGTGATAATGCAGTGAGGATGGTTTAGGTGTTGGATTTTTGGGTGATAATGTAGGTGGTGATACTTTGGGTGATGATGTTTTAGGTGATAATACATGTAGAATGCTATAAGTGTTAGAGTTTTGGGTGATAATATAGATGGTGATACAAGTAGTGATGAAAAAGACTACTTATCAATTAAGAAGCCACAAAGCGATAGTAGTTTAAGTGATGCCGATTCGAAAGTTTTATTGATGAAGAAATAATTCAGAGTTAGAAAGAAAAGAGGAGTATAAGGAGAAAGTATGGCTCTAGACTTCGGTTTAGTAATGATTTGACAGT